CAGGGGGCAGGGCAGCTGCCAGCAGCCAAGGAAGATGGCCCTGATCAAGGCCAGGACTAGGGGCAATACCCGCACACAAAGTTTGGGCCCCAGGCCTCTAATAGAATTATAAACCTACATGCACTCATCCTGAGCTTCAAAAATTATCAACTCATGGCCAATCTTGTTTTATAATTTACATGTCTTATTACACAAAAATCCTAAAGGAAGCTACTTTCCTATGCGTCTACATTCTTTATTGACTCCATCTCAGATAAATCAAACCACTCTCAAAAAGGTTGCCTTTCCTGCCCTAGCCAGCATGTTTAATGGTTAGAGCATTGCCCCACAGACTAAAGGGTCTGTTTGGGGCACATGTGGGAGACAACTAATCAATTTGTGTCTCTCATATTGATGTTTCTCTGTGTGTCTCTCCCCCTCCTTTCCACTCTCTCTAAAAAAATCAATGGTGGGAGAAACCAAGATGGCAGCATAGGTAAATACCTAAACTGCTGCCTAGAACAATTTCAAAACTACAACTAAAAGACAGAACGGACGTCATCCAGAACCACAGGAAAGCTGGCTGAGTGGAAATTCTACAATTAGGAGGAAAGAGGAAAGCACACGGATAATCAGAGGAGCTACGAAGGACTGAGGTATGGAGACACGCGTGCAGAGAGGAAGGGCAGCTGAGTGCCTGGCTGGCGTTCCCTGGTGGGAGATGATAATTCTCGGGGGGAAAACGGTAAGGGGGGTGCAGGAAGATATGGACAAAAATTGTACACCTATGGATGAGGACAGTGGGGGGGAGATAAGGGCAGAGGGTGGGGTGGCAACCAGGTGGAGGGGAGCTATGGAGGAAGGAAGGAAAAACTATTATAATAATCTTAACAATAAAGATTTTTTAAATTAAAAAAAAATCAATGGTGAGGATTAACCAGAAAACAAAAACAACAACAAAACAGGTTGCCTTTACTAAAGGCCAGAGACAAATAAACTGGAAGAGTCTATTTTTAAACAATAAATCAACTCTTATTTGCACAAACCAAGGGAACAGTAACAAAGATACTGCAAAATAATAATCCAAAACTCAGCTTATATGTAATTTTGAAATAACTTTCCCATACTTATATTTCAATAAGAATAAATAAAATGGGAGAATACATGTCAAACAAAATAAATCATCACAGGCGAAATATCTTGGACAAATCATTTGGTCTCCTGAGCCTCAGTTTCCTCACCTATAAGACAGAAAAAGCACCTACCTCAGGGACTTGTAAGAATTGAGTGAGTTTATAGTAAATCCTTACTGAACACTGTACACAGGTGCTGCACCTTTGAGAGAAGTGACGTACCACGAAACCTATTTTACCACAGGCTAATCGATACAAATGAGCGCTGAGGTCCTATGGCATCGCATGGTCTAACAAAGGACACTGGTGGAAGGACACTAGTTGAGGACCTGGGATATACTGAACCCACATGGCAGCTCCCTTTGGGATTTCCCAGAAGACGGAAAGAGCTACAAAGCTGCCTGGTTTCCTCCTACATCACCTTCTCAAAATGATTTAAAAACTTGTATCCCAAAACCTGCTAAATCTGAGGAGCTAAGAATTTCAAAGAACTTCGTGAAACAAATAAAGGGACCTGAGACTGAAGAAAGCGTTTTAGTAGGATAATTCTTTTTTCTTTTAATATATTTTATTGATTTTGTACAGGGAGGAAGGGAGAGAGATAGAGTTAGAAACATCGATGAGAGAGAGTCATCGATCAGCTGCCTCTTGCACACCCCCTACTGGGGACATGCCCGCAACCAAGGTACATGCCCTTGACCGGAATCGAACACGGGACCCTTCAGTCCCCAAGCCGACGCTCTATCCATTGAGCCAAACCGGTTTCAGCAGGATAATTCTTATAAACTGCCAAACTTCACAAAATAATCCCCCCTTAACTACTGAGCCATCCAGCATCATACAGCAGTAGCTTGTGGCCGACCTGCTCAGTAAAACATCCTCATTCTCCCCCTTTCTTTATTTTTAAAATATATTTTTATTGATTTTTTACAGAGAGGGAGAGAGATAGAAACATCGATGAGAGAAAATCATCGATTAGCTGCCTCCTGCACACCCCCTTCTGGGGATGTGCCCACACCAAGGTACATGCCCTTGACCAGAATCGAACCTGGGACCTTTCAGTATGCAGACCGACACTATATCCACTGAACCAAACCGGTTTTAGCTCTCCCCTTTCTTTGATTACTCTTTCAATCATCCAAGACCCTGTTCGCAGTGAAAACAGGAGGACAGCCATATCCTCAGCCATGCTGAGGGTTAAGAAACTCAGTATGACTTACCACAAAACAAGACCGAAGCACCTTTTTCTTCAGTTCTTACTCTGCCCATGAAAAAGCTCGAATTGAAGGCACACTGTCCTTGGAGCACGCCTATACCCCTCCTTTTGGGCATTACCTCTGCTCTTTCTCCTAAACTCTAAGGGTCCTAGCAAGAGTTGCAAGGGGAGCAGTGGGCAGCAGCAGCTCACACAGACTAACCCCCTGAACCAGTCTCCAAGGCCTCCCTTCCTCTGACTTTTCAGTGAGCTGAAAGCAGCCCTGCCTTGACCCACTGTGTCCTGTGACTTTACATCTCGGTGAGTCCACCCAGCCGGGTATGGCTCACTTTCCTGTAACATTTCTAAAGGAACAAAGCAGCAGCACCTGGGCTCTCCTGTTGCTTCTTCTATCCTAAGCCCTTCCCTTGTCCCCGGTCCCCAGCTTAAACAAACAAACAAACAAACAAACAAACGTATTCTCCAAGTAAAAAAGCTGGAACTGTAATCTTGTGTTCCCTATCACCTGAGAGGCAGTTCACTATTGCTCAAAACTATCAAATTAATTTACACATTTTATTTTTTTAATATATTTTATTGATTTTGTACAGAGAGGAAGGGAGAGAGATACAGAGTTAGAAACATCGATGAGAGAGAGTCATGGATCAGCTGCCTCTTGCACACCCCCTACCGGGGATATGCCCGCAACCAAGGTACATGCCCTTGACCGGAATCGAACCCGGGACCTTTAAGACCCCAAGCCGACTCTCTATCCACTGAGCCAAACCGGTCCCGGCTCAAATTAATTTACACATTTTAAATATATATTTATTGGTTTCAGAGAGGAAGGGAGAGACAGAAACATCAATGAGGGAGAATTGTTGATGAACTACCTCCTGCATCAAGCCCACAAGCCAGCCATGTGCCGGTACTGGAATCGAACCGTGACCTCCTGGTTTATAGGTCGAAGCTCAACCACTGAGCCAGGCCAGCCGGGCTTATTTTACATGTTTTTTAAATATACATAGGCAGTCACAACTGTTCACCAAGATTTTAATTCTTCTTTTAGCATTACTTTCTTTCAATCTCTCAGTTATCTTCTTGAGACTGAATACACATTGCTGAAGTTCCCTTTTTAATTATCACCTTCAATCACCAATCCTCTTCCCAGTCTGAAGACAGGTGTTCTTATCACTAACCCACCTTCCCTCCAAATCACCCACCAATGAAAACCTTTACCTCAAACCATTCTTTTTTTTTTAATATATTTTATTGATTTTGTACAGAGAAGAAGGGAGAGAGATAGAAAGCTAGAAACATCGATGAGAGAGTCATCGATCAGCTGCCTCCTGCACACCCCCTACTGGGGATATGCCCGCAACCAAGGTACATGCCCTTGACCAGAATCGAACCCGGGTCCCTTCAGTCCCCAAGCCGACGCTCTATCCATTGAGCCAAACCAGTCTTGGCTCAAACCATTCTTTATTTTCAGAGAGGACCCATTTCTGTGCCGTTTCCCTAAGATAATTATAATGTAATAAAATACAGCGCTTAGCAGTTTGTTGTGTGCTTTGTGTTCATTTAATCCTTACATCTATGAAGAAGGTAATTCCCTGTTTTATCCATAATGAAAAAGACGTGGAGAACGTTAGTTATAAAGCAAGTTAGTGGCGAAGCAGAACCCCACACCAAGCCCTCCAGCTCCCGACGCCGGGCACTGCGAACTCCGACGCCCTTCTCAGAAAGCAAAGCCTCAGCGGGTCCCAACCACATTGGTTCAGAGTAAACCACCTCCGAACCCTCTAGATTGCAACCAGATCTCCCATCCCCACACTAATCACTCCTTCTCTTGCTTCCTCGCCCTCCAGGGGTTACTCTCACCCCAATGACTATCCAACGCCCACTCTCCACGGACACTCCCTGCCATCGCCTTACCCCTCCCGCTCCAGATCTCCGCGCTCCCTCCTGGGGCAGGGATGCTCGCACTTCCTAAGCTGCAGGAGCTTCTCAGTCCCGGGCAAGCTCCTAAATAACTCCAAGTCCCTGCAGCCAGGCGGCTTGCAGGCCTGTCTCCCCCCTGGCCCTGGCCACCACGCCGCGCTGAATCCTCAAGAACAGCCTCACCGGGTCTCCCCTGGCCCCACTGTCGCCGAAGTTGTTATGCAAGTGGCTCCCCTGCCGACCTCTTCGCCAGAGACCCCCCCTCCCCTGGTCCGGAGCCTCTCCTGGCCCGCCTCCCCCTGCACCCAGCCCAGCCCAGCGCAGCCCCGGGAGGCGGTCCGCGCCCACAACTTCAGGCCGGGCCTCTTATCACCTGTTCTCAGTCCCGCTCCGCCCGGCCCGCTCCGCCGGGAGCCAGCCCGCCGGTAGTTCCGGGTGCCCGGGGGCCGCCCGCTCCGGGGTCCGGCTCCCCGGCTCCATCACCTACCTGCTCCGCCCAAGGCCAGAGACATCCGCCCGCCGCCGCCTCCGCCACCCCCAGCTTGGACGCCGGTCCCCGGCCGGCCCGCCCTCCCTAAGGACCCCCCCTCCGGTGGGAACGAGGGGGGCGTGCACCCCAACACGGCCCCCCAACACGGGCCCCCCAACACGCACCTGTTCCTCCTCCCCCTCGTCCTCCACCCCGCCGGCCGCGCCGGCGCCCCGACCCCCCCCGCCCCCGGCCGCGCCCGGCCTCCCAGACCCGCACTCACCACGAGTAGGTCTGCTCCGCCATGGCGCCGGCTCCCGGGCTCCCGGAGGCTCCGCGGGCCCGGCGGCGGGGGGCGGGCGGCGGCGGGCTCGCTCGGGCCGCGAGCGGAAGGCGCGGCGGCGGCGGCCCGGCGCTGGTCCCTCCTCGCACGGCGGGCGGCGGCCCGGAGGCTGCGGCGCGGAGGCCGGGCTCCGAGGCGGCCCGCTGCCTGGGCCCGGGGCGGGGCGGGCTCCGCTCTCGGGGGCCTCCCTCACCGGCGGCGGCGGCGGCGGCTCCGCTGCGGCTCTAAACTCAACATGGCGGCGGCGCGCTGAGAACAAGGGGCCCGGGCGGGCGGCCGGGCGGGCCCGCGCTCACTGCGCGCCGGGCGGCGGGAGCGCCGGGCTCGGGCGGCGGCGGCGGCCGGGGGACATGGCGGGCGGCGGCGGCGGCGGCGGCGGCGGCTGAGGGGGCGCTTGGCGGCGGCGAGGCCGCTCGGCTCACACCGCGAAGGAGAGGAGGAGGGCGGGGGGCGGCCTCGGCTCCGCGTGTGTCACGTGCCCAAAACACGCTCACGTGACGCGCGCCCCGCCCCTTGCGCCGGGCCCGTGCGCGGAGACGTCGGTTCCTCGGTCCGAAGCGGCTGTTGCTCGCTCGGCGCCGGGAGGGTGGGCGGCCTCTCGCCGCCGGGGCCGCCCCCTCCCCGCGCGGAGCCGGCGCCTCGAGCCGGCCCTCCCCTCCCCCTCCCCGAGGGGCCGCGGCAGCCAATCAGGAGCCCCGAGGCGCGCCGGTCCGCTGCCACTCAGCTGTCAGCTGTCCATCAACAGCCTGGAAGCGGCGGGTCCTCAGCTGTCAGTCAACCTGTCAGTCCGCAGGCGAAGCGCAGCATCCCGCAGTTCGTTTGTTCCTTAGTCCCCTTCATGCGCTTAGCAAATAGTCTAAGCAACCAACCGTGATTGCGCCCAGGCTCTGTGCCAAATCCTCTAGAGGCCAAGGTGAATACCCCATACTTGCCTTCATTTGATCCATCAACAGATATTTATTGGGTGCCAGCTATCAACTCATTCTGCTAGACCTCTGCCCTCTGAAAGCTTACATTCTGGAGGAAGAGACATAGACAGTCTAAGCTGACAAATAAAACAGTGAAGATCGTCTCAGATGCTGCTAAGTTTTATGAAGATGATAACAACGGGTAAATGGGACAGAGAATGTGTGGGGGTGAGGGCCGCTTTTGTTCAGATGATCAAGGAAGGCCTTTCGCTGAGGAGGTGACATTTGAGCTGACACCCGAAGAATGAGCTAGACCACAGACCAACTGAATCTGGAGCTTACGGGGGGAGGGAGGAATTGCACCCCAGGGCGTTGGGGAATGTTCTCCAGGAATGGATGAGGCCACGGCGTGCCAAGAAAGAAGGCATTCTAGGAAGAGGACGAATGAAAATGACCAGGGCAGCGCCAGGTTTCAGAAACACGCTTGGCAACAGACACACTAGCCCCCTACGCCTCTGGGCTCCCCGGGAAGCAGAGCTCACACCTGAAAGCAGCACACCCCAGCAGCTTGCCCAACGTCACGCCAGGACCTAGCCCTGCTCCAGTTTCCCGGGGCCTGCCCAGGCTCCGAGGAGCGCCACACCCTGAATCTATCTCCAAATGGATCAGCTGGCCAGTGCCCATACATCTGCTGCTTGCCCGTTCCCCAGGGGAACTCTTTGATGAGAAAGCCAAGTACACTTTTCCTTCAGAAGCAACCTCTCCTTCCTCCTTCCCCACTGCCAGGTGCCAGGGCCAGGCAGGTTCTACATGTTTCCTGCAGCTCCACCAGAGAGCCCTGGGAACGAGCCAGCTGATACAATCGAGGTCTCGGGGAGGGCTGAAGTAGGGCCCCCAAAATTACCAAAGCACCAGAGACCCTCCTCTGACCATTAACAGAAAGATACCAGCCTGCAGATATCTGCCCAGCATCCCTGGCACTGGGTGTGGGGCTGTCATGAGGAAATGGGAAGGCAAGGAACCTAAGTTCTTTTTTATAATGCTAACACTTAAAAATATATATTTTATTGATTTTTAAATTTTATTTATTTATTTATTTTTTTACCAAGAGCAAGGGAGAGGGATAGAGTGAGAAACATCGATGCGAGAGAAACATCGATCAGCTGCCTTCTGCACATTCCCTACCAGGGATGTGCCTGCAACCCAGATACATGCCTTGACCGGAATAGAACCTGGGACCCTTCAGTCCGCAGGCTGACGCTCTATCCACTGAGCCAAACCGGTTAGGGCTAACGCTAACACTTTTTAAAGTTGATTTGAGAGAGAGAGAAAGTGAGAGAAGGAGAGAGAGAGAGAGAGAGAGAGAGAGAGAGAGAGAGAGGCACTAATTTGTTGTTCCACTTATTTATGTATTCGTTGGTTGATTCTTCTGTATACCCTCACGAGGGATCAAACCTGCAACCTTGGTGTGTTGGAATGATGCTCTAACCAACTGACCTATGTGGCCAGTGCAAGGAGCCTACTTTTTTGACGTTAACTTAGTTCTTACCACTTTGCCAGGTGCTTTTACGGAATCCCAGCTGTACCTTGAACATGACACAGTCTTTCTGAGTCTCAGAGGGGCCTGAGTAAGGCATCAGAGCCCACGGGAACAGCCCTGAGCCAGGCACCGGCAGCTGTGGGAGATGCTGAACGCCTTCTCTGACGACTCAGAACAAAACAGATCACCAGGCAGGTGGCTAATGAAACCAGACACCCTGAGCCCCGGGGCGATGAACTGGCTTTAGCTCCCCATGGGCCACAGAAGGCAGAGCCCAGTGAAAATCTGGTATTAGGCGGATGGAACAGGAGACACTGAGGAAGTCAAAGCCCTCCCAGGAGCAAAGGAGCCACTCTTTGCACCGGAAAAATAAAAAATAAAAAAAATCTGGTGGACAGAAGGAGGGGAAGGGCCTGGGGGAAGAGATGGAGTCAGAAATGAGGAGAAATCATCTAAACCCAGGCTCTCCAGGTGTCTCTTGGGGGAACATGTGAGTACAGACCCTAGAAGAAGCCAAACAGCATTTGTCAGGGCTGGGAGGTGTCCAGGCCACGGAAATCCTGTGTCCATGGTCACAGGAAGACGGGTGTGCGCCCAGAGGCTGGTGGCTCTTGGGTCTCAGCTAAGAGTGCCCACAGGCAGAGGCACTGCCCGGTCCCAGTCAGGGTCTGCAGGCTCTGGCGTCCCCCCGAAGGCCTGAGGGTGCCTGGGGCTGCCAGTGGGGCCCTCCGGGGGGTGGCTAGCAGGTCCTGGGCCAGCGGCTCCAGGAGGCAGCAGTCCCCAGGGCATCCGTGGCAGCGCTGCGCCTCAGCGGGGCGTCAGGTGCGCCTGGCAGGAGATGAAGGCACTGCCACCCCCACCCCCCCGCCCCCGGCCCCACAGGTGAGAGGGCGCATCTTGTGCAATGTTTGTGGAAAGAGGCAATGGAAGTTCCTCTAATTATCACCGAGATAATTATAGGAGCTCGCCTGCTACCAAGTGTGTTTAAGAGCCCTGGTGCGTCCCCCCAGGACGCGTCATCTGCCTTAGGCACAGACTCCGGGGAGCAGGCGTTGCCAGATCTGGCCCAGCTGCCTAGACACTGCTCCTGAGGGTCAAAGGCCGATCTGACAGATCCTCACCTGTCCCTCCTTCTCTCACCTCTATCTCCACTTCCTCTCCCCTCCACCCCACCCTCCCGCCCCCCATGCATTCCATGGCGAATGGCTTGCAGCTTCCCAATGGGCTCATGTTCTTGTTTTTGCCTCCAGACCTTGACCGAGCCCAGGAGGCGTGCCATTGCCTTTAACTGCTGCTCATAACGCTGAGGCATGGCGTCCAGGAAGTCTCCCTTGACCAAGCCCCGCTGGTGAGATACTCCCACGGCCCCTGACTTTGCTCTGTAGTGACATGAGCACAATGAACTGTCACTGCCTGTTTACTTGTCATTCTCTCCCATTGGGTTGTGGATGCCTCGTGGGAAGGGACTGTGGCTTGTTGCCAATGACATCTTCCGTGCACAGTGCAGAACCTGGAGCAGAGTGGAAGCTCCAAGACTGTAGAATGAGTGCCTGAGTGAGTGGGAAGGCGAGCCAGGTTCCAGAACAACTGGTCCCGTCTGATATTCCCGCGATTACCTCCCTCATCTCATATTCAGCTTCCTCCCTCATCCCCCTGCAACTCCTTCCCCGACTGAGCAAGAGAACATCCTTAAGAGCAGAGAAATCTCCACATTATGGGAAGACAGAATATTGGAAGTCAGGTATATGGTGAGCTTTTTGTCTTTTATTTTAATTTATAGATGAGAGGGAGAGAGAGAGAGAGAGAGAGAGAGAGAGAGAGAGAGACAGAGAGAGAAAGAGGGAAAGAGAATCATGGATTTGTTGTTCCACTCATGCATACATTGATTGATTCTTTTTTTTTTTTTAAATCAATCTTTATTGTTCATATTGTTACAAAGGTTCCTCATTTCTTCCCCCCTCCACCAGGTTCCCACCCCACCCTCCGCCCCCTCCCCATCCCCCATTGTCCTCATTTATAGGTGCACAGTTTATGTTCAGTCTCTTCCTCCCTCCCTTTCCCCGATAGTAAATCCCTTTTCAGATAGTAAATCTGTTACTTAGCATTTTCTCATATCAATAATACCACCACATGCCCAATGATACATTTCACACAAAAGACATTTCCAAATAGGTCAACCAGCCTCATCCAGGCCCCACCCAAGGCACTCACAGATCAACACCCCAGCCCTATACTAACTCAACACATCCAGATCTAAGCCTTCATCACTTGATTCAGCAGACCCTCAAGTTCCCACAAAAGTTTCCAGCCATGTCTGAGAGGCAGCCGTGGGGCAGGGGCAGGCGAGAAGCGAGCTGTTTCGGGCCTGGCTGCTTCGGGCCTGGCCTCTGTTGCTCTGGTTCGTTCCACAACCAGCTGCTCCGGGTCTGGTCACCGCCGCTCCCCACCTAGTTGCTCTGGACCTGGCTGCTGCTGCTCCGGGCCTGGCCGCACCCGTCCTGGCTGCTCTGGGCCCAGCTGCTCCGGGCCTGGCCACTCCCAGCCTGGCAGCTGCTGCTCCGGGCCTGGCTGCACCAGACCCAGCTGCTCCGGGCCTGGCTGCTCCCAGCCTGGCAGCCGCTGCTCCGGGCCTGACCGCTCCCAGCCTGGCAGCCGCTGCTCCAGGCCTGGCCGCACCAGACCCGGCTGCTCTGGGCCTGGCCGCTCCCAGCCTGGAAGCTGCTGCTCCGGGCCTGGCCATTGGTTGATTCTTATATGTGCCCTGACAGGGGATCGAACCCGCAACCTTGGCATATCAGGATGAAGCTCTAACCAACTGAACTACTGGGCCAGGACACATGCTGAGAGTAGTACTCATCAGGTTACTTATGGTCTTTGATCATGGGTTTAAAAAAAACAAAAACCTTTAGCCAAAACCGGTTTGGCTCAGTGGATAGAGAGTCAATCTGAGACTGAAGGGTCCCAGGTTCGATTCC